CTTGCTCTCGTTGAAATACATAAATCACGATTTTACTAAGTGTTGGCACCTCAGAACACAGTGATAATAAAGGAAACCGACGCCACAATATATTCCCAAGTCGGATTCAGAAAATATTTTAACGACGCTAGCAGCTATCACTTTCGTATACCTACTAGCGTCGGGGGCCTCTCTGTTGACCACCGATTTGGTTTTCGCAGATTATTCTGAGTAAAACAGTTACGAATAATATAACCGTACTGACAACGATTTGAGACAATGATAATGACGTCGGGTGGCTCCAGAAACTTTTCTCTTTTACAAGTGACACGTAACCTTGGACTTGCGCCTTCCCATCGACGTGACAGACTATCAGGACCCACTTTTCAAGCCCTTTCTGACTTCAGGCAAACGCCGACTTCCTTAAATCTTTCCACCGTGTACCGACACTACACTCCACCTCGGAAAAAACCAAATTCATCAATACCGAAGTAGGTAACAAGGTGCCTACGCGACCTCCTTACGTTTCGTGCCCAATGTCATGATGACCGTGGACCCAACTGCTCCAACCGCCCAACTAAAGCCACTTTTTGTACAAATCCTAAATTATTGGACACCTCGAACAGTTTGTAGAAAAAGGTTACTATATATAGCCAAGAATCTCCCGAAAAGAGGGAGAGAGAGTTTTCAGCACCTTGTACAATTTTTCACTTCAGTTTATTAAACACCGACCACCTACCAATCAATAAAATTCATGCTTTATCACTACTAATCCCGCGAACTTGTGTAATATCGATGTTAATGATGTTGTTACAAATTCATACGACAACAATAAGCAAATGAAAGAGAAATCAATTCATCTATTCTGCGAAGTTACGAATATAAACTCCAAATGTCAAGAGCAAGTACAAGCCAAATCCAAAATGTTGAATGTTTTGAAGTTCTCCTACCAAAGCTTGAAAATCAAAGAGAAAAACTAAGAAAAGTGAAGAAGAAAGTGAAGAAGAGAGGTGGAGAGATGATAAGTGATGTAGAGAATGAGGAATAATGGATGGAATCCTCTTCTTGGGCACAAATACCCCCTATTCCCGCTCAATGGTCGACAAAAGACCCCCAAAACCCGCAATGTCCCAAAACGAGAAAAAAACAAATTCTGCACTTTCAGGCCTCCGCGGCCGCGGACAAGCTCGCTGGCCGCGGTGAAGGGCAGATCCACGGCCGCGACATGCTCCACGGCCGCGACTTCCGAGCGCAGAAAAATCCTCGCGGACTGCAGTGCGCGGCTTCACGTTTTGGGCTCGTTTGGGCTCGACCGAACTCGGAATTGAGTTCTGTTTTTTCCTACGCGTCGCTAACGAACCCCTATATTCAATGATGCTTGCATGGCCAAATTATTCTTGAAATATTATTCTCAAAAAGCTTATGACCAGCACTCTAAAAACATGTTTCGCGCGACTTCGCGTTTTCGGCGCGTTCGGACTCGTCCAAGCTTGAAATTGAGCTCCGCTTTTTCCCACATGTCACTAACGAACCCTTTTACGCAACCATGATTGCCAGGTCAATGTTCGGGATAAATCAATTCCTCATGGGGCTTTCGACCTGCACACAAAAAATGAAGAAAAATTGGAAAAACACACGAAAAACACCTAAAGACTCAAAATGAAGGAAAACACATAATAAAACACGAAAAGGACTAAAAACGAAAGAAACGACCTAAAACGGGGGGAAAAAATTAAAGCAAAACAAGTACGAAAAAAGCAACAAAAATCGGACAAACAACTCCCCCACACTTAAACCTTTGTTCGTCCCGAACAAAAAGACACGAAAAGAATATAAAATAAAACAAGCAAATGAGCATGGATAATAGTTTCAGACAAGACAAGTTTCAAGTTAATCAACTTAGTCGAGGAGACTTCCAATGACCAATATAACATACCTCAATTACAACTCGAACGATACGCTTTGAAAAGACAAACTCTCAAGCACGGTAATATAATACATATATGCCTCACTCAGTTTCCTGTATGAATATGAAATGGGTACGCTCAAGTTGGTCGTCAGTCGAATCAATCATAAGTTTGGATATTCTAATGAAAATCAAATCAACCCAATTCACTCACATAACCATTCTCATGAACTCCTCCAGTTGTCAAGCACCAATTGTTTCCTCCCATATCCTCAGAAGTCACACGCTACTCGCATTATTCAAATATATACACCTTTTTTTTCTTGAACCCTTTGGATATTCTAACTAATCCATTCGGTCCTTTTTTTTTGTGAATGACAACCTTTGGGTGTTTATTTCCCTTATATATATATATAACCCAAACTCCAATCACCTCCAATTCTCCACCCACAACTCCACAATATCATCGTCACGAGGTTGTAGAAGAAAGAAAATCAATAAGGCTCAAAAGGGGTGACTAGCGAAATTATTTCTACAAAAAGATAAGGGGAAAGGAAATACAAAGAATGCTTCAATCATGTTCACATTACACAAATCCAATCAATTCATTTAGGAGTAGACTTAAGGCAACTTCTAACTGATAGCGATTCCGACCAATATCTCACAAGAAACAAGTTAAGGTTCAAACCTCACATAAGGTAAATAAATGTAACGCCCCGCTCGTTTATTAGAGTTTTTGGAATTTTATATTATTATTTAGTTATTTGCCGGTTATGATACTAATTGCTCGTCTTATTTGTTCTGCTTGATATAAAATTGTTACGTGGCTAATATATGTTTATATATTATTTATTTGATTATTATGCGTGTAATTATTTTATTTATGAATTATAATTATTAGGATGTATTTGATTAGAATTTTAAATTGTTTCGGCGACTTTTGGTTTAATCACGCAAACCGAACTTTTTTTTATCCGTTTTGATTCGTTTTCGAGTCATTGCAACCAGAACCTCAAATATATCATTTTTGACCCAAATCATTCAATTACTTCCGGTCCAATTGGAATGTATTTCCTACCCCCTTTTTATTAAATTTTTGGCCCAAATCTTGTGATGTTAATATTGAGGAAATTTTCATGTATACTTACAGATTTTTAGATAATTGCAATATTACCATCCATATCAATTGTGTATATACCTAAAAGATAAATATTAATTATAATCATGCCTAAAATCAGTTACAAGATAAGTGGAACAACCTTCCATGTTCCTAGCGCGTAATTTCAGGAAATCGGGCAAAGAGTACGAAACTTCACGAAATCTTCGTCGCCTAGATATATTGCTTTAACATATACTGCAAATATACTATACATATACCCATCGAACGTCTTCCTGTTAATGTCATGAGAAAATATACCGAGAATATACTGATAATATACCGTCGAACGTCTTCCTGTTAATGCCATGAGAAAATATACCGAGAATATACTGATAATATACCGTCGAACGTCTTCCTGTTAATGCCATGAGAAAATATACCGAAAAGATATTGATAATATACTGAAAATTTTTAACTATTACATACTATCGAACGTCTTCATATTAATGTCATGAGAAAAAAAATGGAAAGCAGTGAAACATGACTAAAAATATACTGGAAATAAACCATACAATTTTCATTGAACAATAAAAACAAGAAAAAACTACAAAGTATAGACTCAAAAAATCAACTGAACACAAACAAAATGATACAAATAAGCAATTCTCATTCCTCCCAAAAGACTAATAATATACTGAAGAAAATCAATCCGACCGAAACAAACATTCGTCAACAAAAAAATTTGCTATATACTAAACATAAGCTTATTTTTTGGCAGGGACGCGGGTCATATACTGTACATATACTATACATATACTGTACATATACTCTAATCCAAAATTTTGTCCAAAAACAAAAATAAAAACATATACTATACATATACTATAGTTATACTGAACATTTACTCCAAAATAATCAAACGAAAAAATTCTCAAAAAAGATGTCATGATTTTCTTCTTCTTCAGGGCCTCGGGTGTTTTGACCTCGCTCAGCCTCTTCGTCTTCTTCTTCGCTAATTTCAATTTCAAACTTGAACTAATTAACATCTACGACACACGCAGCCATCGCCGAGGATCTCCATCCGCGAGTCACCGAACACGCGAGGTTTGCAACCGCCGCAAACCACCGCCGGCGTCCGTTCACATTTATCCTCCGAATTGGTTGTTAAAAAGACTTGGCTGCCTTCCGTTCTGCATATTTTCAATTTCAAATCAACATCATTATCTTGAAAAAGGATAGATTAATGAAATTTAACAAAAAATTATAATGGGTAACAAAAATGGATAGATTAATGAAATTTGCCCATCAAACATCAAACCACAAGTAGAAAAACGTATCCAACCGATGGAGATTAGGCGGTCAACGACGAGGATGACTAGGTGGGCGGAGGCAGAGCGGCGAAGGAGCGGTGGGGGGAGGAGAGCAGCAGCAAATTGTAGAAGAAGAAGAAGAAGAAGAAGAAGAAAAAGATGAGAGAGAGAGAAAGAGAGAAGAAGAATAGAGAAGGGAAAAGAGAGAGAAGTCGTATAATTAAGATCCCATTAAATCTGCTTTTACCATATTTAAAAACAATTATCTGTTACTCAATAATCTAGTATGTTTGCAAATAAATATGATAGTTTTAGTTAATTTGCAAATAAATATTTATGAGTTGTAAATATGTAATAAAAATGTTAATGAGTAGTGGAGGATGTAATTTCCTCTTAATATTGTCCCATGGTGTATATTTTCGGCCCGGTTGAGTTAGTTGATTTGGGCCCAATGTTGTTGTTGGCCATTGGAATTAACTAGGCCTTTCTTTTTCATCGTTGTACGACCAAGTCTCACTCTCAATCTGCGCGATTCTGTCTTCAGTTCCGATCTTTCAGAGAGATCCCTCCCCTGCGATTCGAATCTCCCGTCTTCATATCCTCTCATTTTCAGATCGGACAAAATAGCCGGCCTCTGTTCTCAAACCTTCTCTCTCTCTCTCTCTCATATGATTATCAGCCAAGATTTATCTCTCACGCAGAATCGATGGATAGAAGGAAAATCACCCCGCCTCCAATCAGTTCACCTCGCCGGCATAAATCGCAGCACCCGTCAACCGCCACGTCCTCATCGTTGTCACGCGAGCCGTCCGCGAGGAACCCCTGTTCGCCGAGCTCAGCCAACCGTCGCCGAGAAATTCTATTCCACAGCCTCTGCGAACAGATCCGTCGTGAGCTTCTCTCCTCGCCGGTGTTTCGCAGCGGCCGCCTCGAACTCTCGAACACCTCCGTCCGTCCCGTGGCGAGCTTCTCTTCTTGCCGGCGTCTCACAACAGCCTTCACACTGACGTGACGAGTCCACCAGCGACTGCCCTTGTTCGAATAGAACCCCGCCCCCGAAGGCTGACCGAGCCACCGCAAGTCTTAGCCGAGCCCCGTCGAGGAAAGCCGCGATCCGTCAACAACCTCCGTCAGCGAGAATGCTCGGGAAACCGCCACAGCACCCTCCGGCCACCGCTACAGCGCCTCGCCGGTTCCGAGCAGCAACCGAGCAGTCGAGGAGACTCGAGCAGTTCGGGCCGTGAGCAGCGGGCCACTGGGTTGCAGCAATTCGAGGAGTTGTCCCAGAACCGAGAGCCTGCTAGTCTAGCCTTTGTCCATTTCCTTTTCGAAACTTTGAAGAGGTAAAGGGCTGAGACCTCTAATCCGTATTGTTGGCCTAAATTTGGATCTTTAGATTGGAATTAATTGTTGTGTAATTGAATTATGTTCGTTTTATCTTTGTTCTTCTTCTTCGTGAAATTGACGTGGATGGGGACTCTCATTTGCAGTGAAAAATCAAACCATGATGCTGTGTTTATATTTTGTATAATTTCGATGTAGCCATATATAATAGGCTTTCGAAGTGTGACTTGAATTTCTCATTCAGATAATCATGTGAGTTGGATATTAATTGTGTAAATAATTAAATTCCCATGCGTATTAGAATTCATACCTTCTTCCCTTGAATTGTTCATATTAGACACCGTTTGGAGATATTCTAGAATGCTTAATGTGATGGTTCAAAGCTTTTGGTATTATTTTCTGAATGTGGAAATTTCTTGAGATAAATTGTTTTTCAACCGATTTCTAATAACCGTAAGTCCTACAACTTGATTTTCTTTGGTATGCTACAGTTATGTATATCTACATATGATGAAAACAATATTTTATGAAGGTACCATGTTACTTGTTTATTTAAATGGTTATTGGCTAGTTCACAATGCATTTCACTACAGCACGCAGGTAGGAAATGTGTGGTGTAATCATGTACCTTGCATACCTTTATTTATCTGGTATTGGTTATTTGGATATCGCTTGATGATTAATATCTCCTCACTCTATATGTGAGACATTTATGCTCTTTTGATTCTGCAGGCCCATCTATTTCATGTAGAGCTTACAATCCTAAATACAATGAGTGTGTTCCATAATTTGTGTTCAATAATCAAACACATGTATAAATTTTATGTTCGTGATCCATTTCGTAGGTGAAACTCAACGTTTTAGATGTCAAATTATAATTTTAGGAAATCTGAATGCAATTGGTTTCTTGTGCTTTTGTCTTAAATGCTTATTTATGAGGGAATTCGGATTCCTGAGTTATGTGGTTTAGTTAGGCTCATTATATAGACCCGAGTCAACTAATGAGCCACTTTTGAGCTATGTGAGCTGTTTTTGATTGCTTGCTCTGCGTGTTTTTATCTGCGTTATATGTGTTTTAAATGAATGTGTTGTAAATGGTTTTAAGGGTCGGAATAGTTGTTGATAGGACTATTCTTGATGATGTAGGTGTTTGACGAGCCGTGCTCTCATCCTACTAGCTTTTGCGTGTTATCTGCGTTATATGTATTTTAAGTGAATGTGTTGTAAATGGTTTTAAGAGTCGGAATAGTTGTTGATAGGACTATTCTTGATGATATAGGTGTTTGACGAGCCGTGCTCTCATCCAGGTGGGTTTTATTTAAAATTTGTTATGCTGTAAATGTTACAAATGAATGTTAATTATTTGTGGTATGATCAAAGTATGCATGTGAACCATGTAGTCTTCGATGTGAGTTGTACCAGCCGTCGAACTGTTATCCCCGTAGCTATAGAACGTACCCGTTGGGTAATCTCCTTTGAGGATTTACTCCTACTGGCTTGGGCACCGATAGAAGCCCGAGGGGCATTCGGTATTTTACCTCGCAGTAGTGGATTACTCCTACTAGCTGGCACTTGATGTAGCACCCGAGGGCGTGGTTTACTCCTACTGGCACTCGATGTAGGACCGGAGGGCATTCGATATATAGTCAACAGTAGTCTATGCATAGGTGTGCATGAGTCTTGATTTTATGACGATCTTATGACGATCTTATGACGATATTATGACGATCTTATGACGATATTATGATGACAGGAGATTGGGATATTAATTTGATTCTTATTCATACTGATCATACAATTATTATTGTTAATAATGTTTACTGCATAGTGGTGAGCACTATTTTTTCCTCTTGTGCTCATCTCCACCTGAAATTCACGTTTCAGGTTAAGCAAGGCAGGTGCGACGGCGGAGTCAAGCGAGTGGTGATCGGTCTATAAGAATGGCCCTATTATTGTTTATGCTTCCGCATTTATGAATTTGGAATACTATTGCTTTTATGAATTTTCGGATTTTATGATTGAAAAATGATAAGGAGATGCTCCTTTAGACTTATGAATACTGTTTGGAACCCGGTCTGGGTAATATTTATATTGCATTATTGAATATTGAATTATTGATGACTGATGATTGATAATGATGATTGATTGGGTATGGGAAATTGGATAAGTATTGAAGTTTGTTTTGAAAAATGAGTAGCGCCTCAAGTGTATTGAAATAAATTTGAAAAATTTATTCTGATTTTCGGCAAATAAAGGTAGGGTGTTACAATAAATGTCCAACAAAACGACAGTTAAGTTCACCAAGATAAGCTAGTCATGATCATCATCATATCTCCTCCACTTCATCAACAATTATCAACCAATCTCAAAATCCACCACAATCCATACTCGCAAAACATACAAGCTGACTCAAGATAGGACACCAAACAAAAGTAGAAAATGAAAATAACCTAAAAAGACTAGACTTGGTCAACCACATAGTCACGTAAGCACGTAGAACTCCCCCATTTTGTTGTGTAGTATTTTGTGGTGGATAATTTAGTAACCGAGTTATCCGGACTCGGGTCGTCTCTCAAAGGAAGACGGTTCGGAGCTTCGTTTGCTAGTTAGTTGTCCGAAACACAAAAATAAAAAATAAAATTCTACACACTCTAATCAAGATAGGACTGGTTTTTTATTATCAACTAATAAATAACATGAAATATAAATGTATCTAAGAAATATAAATGTCACAATTCAAAGAGAGATAAACGAGCTAGGGTATCGGGGACAATCATTTTTTGTTCTACACACCTTTATCGACAATCTATAACTCGATTAAAAGACTCGACTAATTAACTCATTTAGCGGTTTAACCTCAATAACTCTTCGTAACATGCGGATAAATATAAACAAGTAAATTAACGAAACAATTAATACATAGACAATACGTCTTCGAACATGTCTACTCTAAATGAGCCAAGTTCCACCAATTTCTCCCCTCTCATTTTTGAAATCGATTTATTTCTATGACTCCTCCCCTTTCGGTTCTAAAAGTCGCTAATTCGATTAGAAGGTGTTTAATCAACTAATCATGTAGAATCAACAATCTCAAAACTTAATAAATCAATATTCAATCGTAACAAATCAAAGTGTCACTCTTCGATTATATCAGTAAATTATCCTAAGTGTCACTCTTAGGTTATATCGAATTATCAAGCATGAATTTATCAATTTCTAATTAAAACAACTCGCAAAGATTGAGCTATCGTCATGAACATAAACGAGAACGAACCGGAATGATTATCCCCTATCCCTAGCAATTGGAATTAGCTAAGCAGTTTAAATTCAACACAACAAAACATTTCTCCTAAATTAACCATTTTGCATTAATTAATTCAAAGAGAAAATAAACTTACAATTTAAGCTCCAATTGTTGAGTTCAAATACAAGCTTCATCCAAAAGACAAAATGAAGAAGAAAGAAGAATACAAGAAGAGAAAAAGAAGAAGGAGAAAGAGAGGGAGAAGAGGGAAAGAGGGAGAACCCCTCTTGGTTGTGGTGTGGACATTGCCTCTGGAGATCCTTGAAGCGCTCCCACGCCTCGTGGAGGGGCTCGTTCGGTTGTTGGACGAAAGAGACCATTTTTTATTGGAGCTCTTGTGTCTTCTGGTGTGAATAGTACCTACCGATGAATTTCGAATATAATTGCTCCCAAGTGGTGAGAGAGTCGGGAGCAAGCGTCCTAAACCAGGATGTAGCCCGGTTCTTGAGTGTCTTGGGAAAGCACCTCATTTTCAACTGGTCCTCTGTAAGATTGAGAAGTGGAAAGGTTTGGAGGACATTGTAGAACTCGTGAATGAAGTGGAGCAGATCTTCGTTGGGGAGGCAGTGAAAGGATGGAAGTTGGTTGTAGTGGATGGTCTTGAGCTCGTAGTTCTGAGCTGCTGGTTCCAATCGGATGCACGAAGTCACCGGCCCAATCACCAGTTGGGCCAAGTCACGGAGAAGATACCGCGGAGGGTTGTTTACTTCATCTTCGTTGTTTCGGGCCATGTCGCTTTGATTGTCGGAAATGAGTACACGACCACTCCTAGTACGCATAAAGTCAAACAAGAAATGGGTTACGAGCACCAATGATAGACGAAAGAAAGTAAATAGCAAACACCCAAAAAAACAATAAAAATTAAATAACTAATAAAAATAACCAAAAAAAAAAGAAACAAAGAGAAACACAAAAATAATAAATCACAAGAATAAGAGAAATACGAAAACAAATGAATGGACGCACGAAATAAATCCTAAACCTTCCCCGGCAATGGCGCCATTTTGTTGTAGTTTATTTTACCGGAGTAGAATTGAAAGATTCAAACACCGGGTCGTGTCTCTCGAAGAAGGTTAGCCGGGCTAAGTCGTACTTTTATTCAATCACGAAAATGGAAAATTATCTTAAACATTCTAATCCAATTTGACGGGTTTTGATTAACAACTAATAATACGTAAATAAAGCTAATTAAACGTCACAACTCAAAACACGATTTAAATAGAAATAAACGGGCTAGGGTATCGGGGATAATCGCTTCCGGTTCTACACACATTTAACGGCAATCAACAACTCGGTTAAAAGGCTCGACTAATCAACTCATTTAGCGATTCATCCTCAATAACTTTTTGTAACGTGCGAATAAACATAAACGAGTGAATCAATGAAACAATTAACACATAGACAATACGTCTCCGAACATATCTACCTCGTACGAGCCTAGTTCTATGACATCTCCCCTATCGGTTCCGAATGTTGCTAAATAAATTAAAAGAAATTTAATAATCTAATCATGTAGAACCAACAAACCATAACTCAACAAATCGATATTCAATCGTTTCCAATTGCAAAATTGAAGTATCACTCTTCGATTTTATCAAATTATCAAGCAAGACTTCATCAATTCCTAATTAAAATAGCTCGCACAAGATTGAGCAATCGACATACACATAAACGAGAACGAACCGGAACGATTATCCCCTAGCCCCTAGCTAAAGGATTAGCCACACATTGCAATCTCAACACAAGCATTCATATCAACACAAGCCATTCTCAACATAAGCAAATGAAAGAGATTACTTACTAATAATATGAACAACAAATGTCAAGAGCAAGTACAAGCTAAATCCAAAATGTTGAATGTCTTGAAGTTCTCCTACCAAAGCTTGAAAATCCAAGAGAAAAACTAAGAAAAGTGAAGAAGAAAGTGAAGAAGAGAGGTGGAGAGATGACAAGTGATGTAGAGAATGAGGAATAATGGATGGAATCCTCTTCTTTGGCACAAAAACCCCCTATTCCCGCTCAATGGTCGACAAAAGACCCCAAAAACCCGAGCACAATGTCCCAAAACGAGAAAAAAACAAATTCTGCACTTTCAGGCCTCCGCGGCCGCGGACAAGCTCGCTAGTCGCGGTGAAGAGCAGCTCCGCGGCCGCAACTTCTAAGCGCAGAAAAATCTTCGCGGACTGCAGTGCGCGGCTTCACATTTTGGGCTCGTCCAAACTCAGAATTGAATTCTGTTTTTCCTACGCATCGCTAACGAACCCCTCTATTTAATGATGCTTGCATGGCCAAATTATTCTTGAAATCTTATTCTCCAAAAGCTTATGACCAGCACACTAAAAACATGTTTCGCGCGACTTCGCGTTTTGGGCCCGTTCGGACTCGTCCAAGCTTGAAATTGTGCTCCGCTTTTTCCCACATGTCACTAACGAACCCTTTTACGCAATCATGATTGCCCAGTCGATGTTCGAGATAAATCGATTCTTCACGGGGTTTCGACCTGCACATCGAAAATGAAGAAAAACTGAAAAAACACACAAAAAACACCTAAAGACTCAAAATGAAGGAAAACACATAATAAAACACGAAATGACTAAAAACGAAAGAAACGACCTAAAACGGGGGGGAAAAAAAAAGCAAAACAAGTACGAAAAAAGCAACAAAAATAGGACAAACACTCTTGGGACTTAGCATCTTCCAAGTATTGTTTGGATTTTTCTAAGTCTTCTAGATTCCATCTTCTCTAGTCAATAGTCCTCGAGTTAGCCATGGTCCCGAGAAGCCGCGCTAGACCCGAGCCAAGGACCCTTAGCACCATTCCGAGTTTGGTGAAAGGTTAGCTCGTGTTATTCATTTTTCCCAGATTATACATGATGTTTTCAGATTTATCATGTAAAGAAATGATGTCATGCATGTACTTAAAATGGACCATATGATATTATCGAGTTATGAGCCCTAATTTCGGATTTTATAGTACATGCATGCCTAGGCCGATTTTTATATCTTGTTGTAGCAAAATATATTTTTACCGAGTACCGAATCAAAAGATTCGTTCCCCGGGTCAATCTCTCAAGGAAGGCGGTTCGGAATCTAGGGATGATGTTGATAACACATAATAGAAAAATAAATCCTAAACACTCTAATAAAGATAGTGGTTTTTAATTATCAACTACGAAAGAGAATTCAAACAATGCAAAATCGAACTTAAAAGCAAAGATGAAGATCAAAGGATAAGAAGCTAAGGAGTCGGGGATGATGATTTTCAAACCAATGCAAATATCAAGCTAAGATCATTCGGTTAAATGATTCGAGCAACCTAACATCTAGAGATAGTCCTCAATAACTCTTCGTAACAAGTGGATAACATAGACGGTAAATCAAACAAATCACACAACACATAGACAATACGTTTCCAAACAAGTCTATTTCATGCGAGCCTAGATCGATCAACTCCTCCCCTTTCGATTCTAAGAGTTGATTAAATTATCCTAGACGATTGTTAATCTACTAGTTCGTTGGATTTAAACACATCACACAAGAATGAATCATATTCAATTGGAAATCAATTGCAAATCGAAGTGTCACTCTTCGACAATAATCAACATTCAATGCACGAGAATTATAAACCCTAGTTAAGCACAACTCGCATAAATTGAACGATCAACAAGCATGATAATCACAATTAAATTCTAAACATCATCATCATCCCCTATCCCTAGTGAAACGAATTAGCTACTCATATGGAATTCAAAATCAACAATCTCAACAATCAAAGTCATCATATTCGTGAATTAGATGAAAATAGAAACTTACGATTAATAGAAATCCAATATTTGAATACAATGACAAAGCTAAATCCGGAAAAGTAAAGAGAGAATTGAGCAAAAAGAATGATCTAAATCCGAGTTTTAGAGAAGGAGAAATTGAAAAAACAATATTGGAGATTGTTCTCACGAGTCTAAGGATCGTTTTGATATATAGGGCTCGAAAAACGGTGCTAAAACGAGTAAAAACCAGCAAAAATAAAAACAGGATCGACCCAGTTGCGACTCGCGAGTTGACTTGCGAGTCGCGAGTCGCCTGGGTCGCTGGGGCTGTGCGTCTCTGTTTTTTTCGCGAGGCGCGACGCGCTCGGTTTCGAGTCGCGCGCGCTGGGCTCTGGGCGTGGGGTACG